AATCAATTTTCAGATTAAGGGAGTTGCCTGTGACTAAGAGTGTCGGCCACCCGTTTGTCATCGGGACTTTAGTAGGACGTCATTTTCCTCGACCGGGGGTGGCTACCGCCACTCTTGAAATCGACTACATCAGAAACTGTGTTGAAGGTCTTTTTTCCCCCCAAAAGTTGTATCTTTCATTTAACATGATTTTTTGACGTTACTTATGTATTTCTCAAACTGTGATATGTCTTCGTGGTTTTTTTTTGACAGACCACGTACATTATGCCCGTTGGTTAACGTTTCACGTTAGAGATCTAGAGGAACTTCAAACGAAAGCTCCAAGTGTGCATGAACACTTTTGCAATGGATGGTTTGTCGTCCGCAAAAAAAAAATCGATTTTCTGCCATAGCGATTGATCAAGCTCATGAGAAGAGTAATGCCTTAATCAAAGGAAACGGTGGAGCAGTAGGGTTGCTACGAGAAATGCAAAAATTAATAAGTCTTATATCAGCTGAGTTCATTTGAGATTTTTCATCACCTCTGGTGCACAATTATTAAAGGAAAATGCACTGCCAATGAATTGTTCTTTTTCTAAAGATCTCTTTATCCTTACGGGTTATGGACCCAGCACGCTTCCAATGCTGGGGACTCATAGGTTATGGTCTATATTTTACTACATGGAAAAAAGGTTACTTATTATCATTTTGTTAAAACCCCCTAGTTTTATCAATGTATTTAGTTCATTTAGTTTATTAATTTTTTTAAAATTTTCGGATTTATATATATGATGGGTATAACTGACGTTTACTATCGCGCTTGCCGGTCCTCATGTATCGACCATTATTGAGGAGTATGAGGAGCAGAACAGCCACTGAAACGCGTCCGATATGTTCCCGCCAATAAGGCACATCAGCTAGGACGGTCTGGGTCACGGTTGTGGGGGTTCCCATGGTTTTGGTTAGGCAGGATGTTATCAGATAGTTTTTGAATTGTACCCGAAAAAAGTTAGTTGTTGGAATCTCCCGTAAAAAAAGTAAAGGTTTCTTTTGTGAAAAGTCCTACTAACATCTTTCTTTCTTTCCTAGAGGAGTGAGAAATCGTTTTACGCCCGAACAAGATATGCATATGATCTCATAGTGAAAGCGTCCAGAATCGAACAACGATATGGCGGGGTGAACGGTGGGTCCATCAAAACAGGCTAAAGCACGTAGAAGAAGAAGAGAAGCAATGATCAGATCCTTTAAGTGATGTGTTCATCGAAAAAACGGCCCGGTGGACCGAGGCGGATGTCCCAGGCCTTACACCTGAAACTTATGCCTGCCATCCTAAACGAGCCGGAGCCCTGAGTGACTTAATGAAGGAAAATGACGATTTTATAACTGAAATAAATGAATAAATCAAAAGCAATGATTTTTTAAAGTTACACAGTAAGCAAACCGCGTATAAAGATGCCAACATATATTATAACGAGGGGGATTTGACATCATCTGACATGTCTTTTTTTTATCAGTTTGGACCGAGTCTTCGACAATCATATGATTTTGAAGAGAATGATGTAGATAACTTTGATTACCATGATTCTTTGTTGTGTAAATGAAAAAAAAATTGCTCTCAGATTTGATCTGAAATGAAATTGTGATGCTTTAAAAGTATGATTAGGCGGAAAAACTTCTGTCTAGATTGGAAGCTTAAGTATAATTTTTGGTCTTTTTTCCTGTTCTTTGCAGGCTCGGTTAAACCTGCTACCAGCTACTCACTGATCATGAACCTCAAAGCAGTAGCAGCCAATATTGTGCCTCCCTGAAAATTCAGGATAAACAATAAAAGTGGGTAATTTGCCTAATTTGTAATATTAAAAAAAAGTTCTTATTGTCCAGGTGTACTTGCAATCTTTTCTGCAATTTAATCATGCAAGAGGAATTGATATCGAAAAATGTCCAACATAACCAAAATAAAAGACTGAATTAAACCAGTGCAAAATCAACACCGCCGTGAGCGGTATTGTCTCTCGAAAGACCCATACTAAAAACACAGTCAAAGGATTTGATTACTTTTATTTTTCACTTAAAGATGAAACAGGAGGCATGAAGACATGTTCGTGAGATAAGACGATTTATCATACTAAAGCCAGTTTTATTTTACCATTTTCCCCCAAATGAGCATACCATCTAAAAACGCAAGTTGCGGAGATTATCTGTTTCAAAATTCGGAGTAAAATTTTATTTTAAAGTGGATTGTTGGGTTAAACTGACGTAGCACAGACGTTGATGTAAATTCATCCGGGAATTAAAGTAAGACATCATTCAATTACATGTCTAAGCAAATTGATTTCAAATTAAGACTGAAAGTTTCTCGTGATTTTCTGAGTCTCGCAAAGCGAGACTGGGTTCCGCTTGTAAATGAATAAAATTAAGCAAGAAAAACCAACATATAATCTCTTATAGTGAAAGCGTAAGTTTTTTTTTTAAATATTTTAAAGTTTCAACTATTGGAGAGTTATGTTATTCGTATGTACTACAAAGGTGGTGATCAGAAATCAGTGAATAGGGCAAGAAAAAGTTTGTTTACCTCAATGAGCAGGAACATTCAAAATTTGCTATCAACTCTTGATGTTTTAAAGCAACACGCTCTCCGCGCTGCTGATCAAGCAGGGCAAGTGTGGGGATGTGCCTGTTTTAAAAATGAGATGATTTCACTGGATATTTTTCAAAATTGATTACTTTACACGAAGAATGGTTACTGAATCAGCCGTACTGAATCAATGTTTCTAAGATCTCATAAACTTGCTGTATGCCATAGCCTGGTGCGATGACTGCACTCGCTGCAGGGAAGCTAGAACTGGATTTTCTGTTCATCCACAGAAAATTTTGAAGAGAAATCGAAAAGGACTTGCATTTTCCGATGACGTTATTCTTGACCGAAATCTAGAATGTAAGCTGAGGGAAGTTAAATCAGGAAACGGCAACGGCACTGATTTTATTGTAGGCAATAATGAGCTTTGTGACTTAGAGCACTGTTATAGGAAGTGTATAGAAACAGAATGTATGTCATTCTTTATGTGATCATCTTTTTTCTTGTAGCTGCAAAGATCATCATCCACTTTGCAAACAGATCCATAAATTACAATCATTTCTTTTCAGAAACGTGCCACATGTTTCGATGGAGGAGGCTTCATACAATTTTGAAAATGCAGACTCCTGAGACTCCTAGACCGGGGGAAGGACTGAATACTGATAATTGCTCATTACTTTGATTATGCTTTTGTATTTTCTTTTCTACCTCCTACCATATCTTTGCCTGAATCTTTGCTGGCTATCATCTAATTTGTGTTAGAATCATAACAGTTAATGTCAGAGATATTGGAAGTTTTAAACTTACTATTGTTGCTCAGGTTATTTTTAATTAGTTTTCAGTTTTTCCCCTCCGGTCTACTTTACTGTAAATGTCTAAACTTTATCAGACGTTAGCTAAGAGATTCATTGGAAATTCCCTCATGCACTGAATTACCAAGTATCATTTAGCTAGTAATACTTATTGTGATTACCAAAATTTTGCTGTAAAATTAATTATTTAAGTTCATTTATGGTGCCTATCCTATATTCTCGTGGAAAGTTGAGTCCTTTACCAGGATTATTTGAACTATGCCTTTTCTTTATGAAATTCAGTGCCAGTTATCGGAGTACTTTTTTGAAAAGTTTTTTGGAAGAGAACAAAAAGAGGCGATGTCTTGCGTTCATTGAGACGTTGATGTGTACATAAATTTCGTTCATGTAAAATTGACGTCGATTTGCGGCTGTTGCTTCGTATAATTAAAGATTCGCGGGTTGTGGGCCTATGTCGCGTTGCTTTTGAATAATTATTGTAAGTTTCATACCTGTACACATCGCAAAAATTCATGACATTTGCTGCGTACATGAATACGTCTTGCCAAAGAGGTGGTGTTGCCGGGTTTACACGGACCAATTTGACTTCAGACGATTACCCTGTTAAAACTTTTGTGGTTTACTCCAAAATTGAAGTTAAGTCTATTCAACCGATTTATACATACAGACAAATCAGATTTCAACTTACAATTTATTGGAGACTGTTGAAGTAATTGAGAGGCAAATTATTTCTTAGATACAATTACAGACAAATAAATGGGTATACAGGGTGTCCACTATAATTCCACTTAGGATTTTCCTGATATTTTCCTATCATTTTAGATGAAATTTCCTGATTTTTCGTACGGATTAAGTGTCATTTGTTTGATTTCACAAATCAACATATTTAATAAGTTGAATCGAATGTTTCACTTGTTCATGTACTGAACTGCAGGTAGTTAAATAACGCTTGATGCACTCAGAATTTCATGATCCATGATCGATATTCCTAATATTTTCCGGTTTTGACTGAAAGTGGACACCCTCTAAGTCGAAATCGACGAGTGTGGTCAAAATTGACTACATCTCCAATCTCCATTTCAATGTGGAACATAGAGCGTTCAACAGAGTAGAATGGACGAAATATGGTCACCGGCGAAAATTCCCGAAGGAACTGTCCCAAAACCCACAAAATTCCTTTGTCTTCATTACAAGATTGAAATAAAGCTCCACATCGCTACAAAGAGATACAATTTATTGAAAGCATTTGATTGTACCAGAAAAAAAATTCGGAGAACCAAAATAAAACTCGAACAGAAATTCGATAATCTACACGGAGGTGAATAATCTGCATATAACAAGAACAGCAAATAACAAAGGAGTTTAGACAGGTATCACCAACAAAATATTTACAAATTCGACTAGAGTGTCCGCAGTCCACTCGCCACGAGACGTACATCTAAATATGTTTACAAAAGTGTCCCGTGCAAATATGCTCGCGTCGGATTATCTCATAACCCCGCCCTTGCGACGAAAAAACCCAACTGCGTTTTGACATGAACCCTCGTGTCCAAGAGACTCAGTGATTCCGGGGGCTCAAGTGATAATCGAGTTGGGTTCTTCCATCGGTGGAGCGGTGATAATCGCGCGGGGCTCAGACACCGGGCGAGGTGAGCCCGGTGCGTGGGAGTATGGATTTAAAAAATAAACAATAAAAATGGAACAAGTATTAACACTGTTTACTCATTTGGGAAGCTCTGTTTTTCGATTATCACGTTTTAGACGGTCAAATGCTACCTAACGAGCGCCACGGCCGTTCCTACGATGACTGCCCTAATCCAACTGCTGCTGATGAACGAGGCCTCTGAAACAGGAAAAAAACCAAACGCTTGGTGTAAACACGAGCTCCGCTGGACTAGATTCATGATTGAAAAAAGCATGCAATGAGAAGCATTTCATCTCAACATACACCGGAAATAAAGGATCACAATCCTAACTACTTCTGACTGATTTTGGCGCCAGATATTACCGTAGTTGTACCAGCCGGAAGAGATATGGCAAAATTTGTTTTTCGAAACCTCAAACCAGGGTCGGACTGGCTCGCATCTAAGGGCGTAGACCCTTGGCTGGTTAAAGGGGCGTGATGTGATATTTCCTGGTAGAGCATGTCCTACGTGGAGAGGGGTTCAGAAAATTTTGGCAAATCAGCACAAGTTTACGCTATTTTCAGGTTCAAAGTTTATTGATCACACAAAGTAAAAATTGCAAAATTGAACGTGAAGCACATCATCGAGAGCTCACGGTTCGCGTCATCGCTCCTTCAATTTTTCAAATGCAGCATGGACGTTCATCAAGTGCGAATAGTTGTATCTCTACGCCGTCGTAAACACGCATCCTTTCCCTCCCTTTTTTTCCATATTGTGTTCGTTTAATATTCGTAATGGTGCTTCAAGCACTACGTGAGTAATACAGCCGAAGGTAGGAAAGATGTCTTCGGGCCTTTTTGTAACTTTTCTCCCGAATCAGAGCGACGCTTCATTGACAGCATAACGCAGAGCATTGAGAGCTCACGGTTCGCGTCATCGCGCCTTCAATTTTTCAGATGCAGCACGGACGTCCATCAAGTGCGAATAGTTGTATCTTTGCGCCGTCGTTAACGCGCATCCTTTCCCTCGCTTTATTTCCATATTGTGTTTGTTTGCGTTTGTCTTATTTGTAATGTCGCTTCAAACTAGAGCAGAGCATTCCGAGTTCACGACTCACGCCACCACGTCTTACATTTTTTATATGCAATGTGGACATGCATCTTGCGCGAATAGTTGTATCTCGTTTACATTTTAGATGTCTCTTATTTTTGAATTTCAAGATAAATTAAGGTTAAGTTTGCCCGAGCTATGCTATGGTATGTCAAATCAATTGTCATTTGAATAGGAGGAAATATGTTTAAAGGTCTCTTAAGAGGTCTATAAAGGATGCGTATGTCTAATAATCGAACCGACCATCGCTTCTAAGGGAGTTACACATAGCGAATGAAGAAGGGGGATGATAAAGCGCCTGTATGTCAAGAAGGTGAAAAGTTCACAGAAAAGTGTTTACGCTTCAGTAAGTAGTTCATAGGCCTCTGTTCACCACTATCATGCGTTGAAGCACCTTTCTTTACTCCTAACTCTCTCTTCTTCTGCTCATTTAAGAAATTTTTCTCACATATTCTCGGTCGGAATTTTTTTTTCTTCTTATTTTGCTATCTGTAAGAGGGGTGCGTTTTCGGCGCGCAAAGGGGGCGTATCTGCCAATGGCAGATTGACCTTATGGCCAGTCCGAGCCTGCCTCAAACCCATTCTAGAAAGCAAATCGAGGTAATTTAACAAATTTTCCCTGACATTCACGGAGAAAAATAGAACCGCGCTGAGTACGAGAAGATGGACTTCATCACATGGGACGGATGATGATTTTGCTTTAACATTCCATTCCGCACTCGGGCACAGCCGACACTTGTCCCCAGCACATTCCTCCTGTACTTTCGCAGAAACTTTCTCTGCTAGGTGACATGTTTTCCTGCAGTCCACCACATCCGGCGGATATTAAAGCAAAGTTGGTGCTGATCACCGTTCTGTTTTTCTCCGTGTTTTCCGGTTTTTTCTAACAGTTAAAATTCCCTGAAATTTCCCAGTTTTCCCTGACTGGGAACCCTGCCTATCCTCTGTGCGGCATGACCAATCGGCATCCGAGGCAATCGCGAAGAACACCGAAAGTTGGGCGATGCGCGGCGGGGTTCACGGAAAAACTATATCGGAAACCGTAGCGACGAAGGCGGAACGTATTCCCGGAGTCGGATGTTAAATATTAATTCAGAAATATGTATTTGGAAGGGGTCCGAGCGGGCCGCGGGGGGAGTAATCCTCGGGAAACGAACCGCGCCGGCAGATCGCGTTCCGAAATCGGGAAAAATCCGCGGCGGGCCGCGGGCGGGGGCCGCGGCGCGACAGCCGCGCGGGGCCGCTCCGCTTTTTATTCAACATAATAACCAGATGCTGTAGACACTCGAGAGAAAATGATCAGAAAGAACCGCTCGCTAACGTCGTGCATTTTGGATCATTACCACCGCTCGAGCAAGGATTTCGCTCCGGGCGACGTTGTCGGATCCACCGGGGCATAGAGAAAAAAAGGGAGGTGTTTGCATCTCGAGGTTTGTTTACCCTGTGTCGTAGGTCGGTACAACCTGGCCAGCGTAATCCGGAATTCGAAGTATGAAAAACGAACCATAACGTCCTATTTTTTGCTGAAATCAACTCATGATATGATTTCAAGCACTTTTCAAAGAATGGCTTTTTTCCATAAATTACACCATTTCCGAGAAAATTGGTGATAAAAGTCGCTGTACCGACCTAGGTCATCAAAAAAAATCCGAGATGCCCGAGATGCAAACACCTCCTTTTCTTTCTCTATGCCACCGGGGGTGGAAATCCAAATGAAGGAATTTTGTGGATGATCACAGTATAGTCTTTTCATAAGACTTTAATATATATACAGGGTTGTTTAAAAGTCACGCACCACTGGCCATGAGAGGGGTGGGGTGGCCATCAGCAATTTTACAGTTGCCCCCCTCCCTCCCCTGAGGGGATCAAAAACTGGAAAGTACCTAAAATAGTTTCCCCTTCGATACGAGGAAAAACGTCATAAACCGCAAATCGATATCCTAATTGGATGTATTTCTGTTAAACGGAACTAAGCGCTAATTGAGTTCCCTTCGAGGATTTTTAATCCCGGATAGCGCGTTCTGTCAAACGGAACTAAGCGCCAAGAAAAGCATTGCTAGTGTAGGATGGAAGGAGCATCGCGTTTCGCAACACCCACCAATCCACGCCCCCCTCTCCTTTCCTCCTCCTATGGCGCTTAGTTCCGTTTGATAGAAATACGTCCAATTAGAACTAAAGTTATGGCCAGTGGTATATTTTTATACAATTTTCAAGTTGGATTGATTATTTTTGGTGTTTTTATAAATTATTTCATAATGGATTAATTTAGTCCAATTTATATTTTTTTTTTAAATAAAAGTCTTTAATGATTCATGACGTTTTCTTGAACCTCAAAGGAGGAAGTTGATAAATGGCTTCATAATACTTCCTACCTAATGTGAAACATGTGAGGTGTGTTTAAATGGTATTGTTTAGAAAGTGTTGATTTGTTTGACAATTGGCTCTTTGAGTTGGGGTTGAGTCGGGAAAGCCGCGATAAAATGGCAAGTCAAAATTATATAAGGGAACCTGAGTCGGAAAAATTAAAACACAACACAAATTGCAAAACTAAAGGAGCGACCATTTATTAGTCGTCTTCTAATTTTTGAGTGCTACAGTGTGAATTGTAATTACGATTGCAACATTGTGTCCGATGAAATATTCATCATTCAACCTGCTTTATCTATTTTGAAATTATGTCAACTATAAGACCTGACATTTAAATAATGAAGGGCGATCCAGAAATCGCTAGGTAACCTGGTTTCAGAAAATGTACAACAGAAAGAAAATTGACAAACTATAAAGGCGCGACCATTTATTGGCCGTCTCTTGATGTTTGAATGCTACGATTAGATTGCAATTAGAAATATAGGTTCAAACTTGTAGAAAAGAACATAAATATCATTTTTCCATAATTGGCATTTGCACCCTTCAACCTGTTTCACGTATTGTGAAAGGTTGTCAACAGAAACACCGGCCGTCTCCTAATGTTCGGGTACTACGTGTTTTGATTTTTGGGTGCTCCGAGTAGATTATGATTATGATTGCAATGTTGTATCCAATATCGTTCTATCCCCTGTAGAAATTGGTCCATGTCCATTGATTGAATTGGGGGCTGAGTTGGCAAGACCGCGATAAAGAGACATTCCACTTTCTTCCTGGCTCTCACTCCTTGGAAACTTCCTGCACTCAACCCTTTTTTTCCGCGGGCTCCCCCCTCCCCCCCCCCCCNGGGCCATTAGGTTCCCACCCCCACGGCCAGGAGCCGGGCCTCGTCCGCGAGTCGATACGCAAATCGTCGCCCCTCTCACGTAAAAGCGCATCTACATTTCCACGTGAGACCCGGAGAGCTTGGAGCTATACGGAGCACAAGGTTCACGTGCGGAAATCGAGATACGCCCTTACGTCAGGGGAGCGACGAAATAGGGGCGCATCGGAAAATAATGAGGATTCCCAATGCACGCCGCACGGTGGATCGAGTCAATCAGAAAGGTCGAACTTACGATGTTTTACTAAAACTGGAAAATACGATTTTTTTCCCATCGAATTTTAATTATAAATGGGAGTTCCTAGGAAGAAATTTTACGAGGAAACGAATGTAACCACTTTTAAAACCTCAGATGTTTGTATGAGCGGAATTGTGAGCTTGTAAAGTTTCAACATTTTGTCCGACTTCCCCTGATGACTCGTTACACTGTGCGCCGTGCGATGCGCAATCTTTGCCTACTGTTTCGTTTCGGGTCTCGGCTAAACACTTTCCATACAGGCGAATTTGCGGGAGCGGGTTCGGTTTATTCGCTTTTGTCTTGTCACGCAGTGCCCCTGCTTCTGTTCTAGACATTTAACTCCTTTACCTAGTATTGTGCCTTTCTTTCAGATCTGTACTGCAAATCATTGGTCACTGATAGCTGTGCGATTGTGATTGTCAAAATATTTAGAAGAACGTGCTTTCACACACATAAGTAAAAGAAAGGAAAGAACGATTTTCAGATTTTCCAAAAATTCGAAGGTTCAATATATAACTGGAGAGAAAAATTTTAAAAATCTTCCTCTAACAAGTTTGACACCGATTTATACGATCATTCTTTTACACCATCTACGCGAGAACACAGCCACAAGCTTTCGTGACCAGGGTGTGTACTAAAACAGGCTGGCCAAAAATCAGCACTTAACAGTACTTATACACTAAGTTCTCGGTAATTTCCCAAGAAATTCAGTACCCCCTCAACAGAAAAATGCAGTACTTTTTCAGTACCTCCAATTGCGATTGATTACAGGGGAGAATTTCATAAGCAATAGCAATATGGTCCAAAAATCAACAATAGGAAAAAACAAGCCGGATAATGACTGAAAGATCACGAAAGTTTCGTCATGAATGATATTTAAGTCGACAATTTCGAAATTGACGTCAAATTGCCTGCATTTTAACACCCTGACCTAATAATTGTGGGTAAGTTTATTGCACGCTGCGGCTCAGCGCGGCGTGCTGCCAGCTCGAAAGGCGCACTGACGCCTACAAACCTAAGGGGATACTTCAAACATTGCGTAATGCGTGAAGTATCCCCTTAGGTTTGTAGGCGTCAGTACGCGTCTGGCGCTGGCAGCACGCCGCGCGGCGTGGTGAACGATTTCTCGCGGAGAGAGTTCCTTGCCAGAGAAACTCGTGTTTCGTGTAAATGTTTTACTTTTTTAATTTTTTTTTTTTTTTCGACTTTTAAAATCACACACTGTCACATGAAGTAATTAGTGAGCTCTCAACGCTAGATGACGTGTAATAATGAAATGCGGGTCGTGCGCTATGCCCGCTGCGGACGGCGCAAGGCAGCTCACGAAATTCTCCCCTGCGCTCTGTCGCTCCAAGTGACGAAATTCGACAAATTTGTATTTCCCACTCAAACTGTGATAAAAATGACAAAAAAATGAAAAAATTCCAGCACTGGAAAAAAAACACATTGGATCTTGAGTCCAGACTCTTGATAATCCTGACAAGAAAACATACTCTTGATTCAATTAGATTTAAGCTTAAATCATAGGTAAATCCGCTCAAATTAAGAGGCTTGGTTCTTGATTCATGCAAAAATCTGATTGAATCAAGAGTATTTTTTCTTGTCGATGTTTTTAAGAGTCTGGACTCTAGATCCAATGTGTTTTTTTTTTCCAGTGAGACTTCCTTGCAAAATTCCGCACTTTTTCAGCACTTCCGGACCGCCCGTTAAAAATCAGTACTACTTCCGGACTTGTAGACACCCTGTGCTGCCAAAAATACCCGAGCCCGCAAAGCAGCTTTTCACTGGCGCTCATCCCAAAGCTCACATTCGGGCCGTATATTGAATAGGTGACGCGGGCGGTGGAACATCTGCTCCTTACCGGGCCATTACCGGGCGGCTGGCTATTCAATCACGCGCGCGGATTTTCGATTCATACCCGTCACTAGGCCGGAACCGCGCTGATTTCCGTCGGGTCCGTCCCGCCAGATAAATTCGCTCCTTAATTAAAGGAGCCGCCCCTTTCGCTAAATTTAATTAAGGTTTATTTAATTAGCCGAGCTCCGAGCCCGCTGCAAGGCCGTGCAATAAAATGGACGCATTCAAATCCAAACCGACTATCTCCGCCGAGACGTGGGCCCCGTTGAACGTGCTTCCATACGGGGCTCGAGGTCTGGGTCACGATGGAGATAGGTTCTTTTGGTTTAAACGCGTCCGAATGAGATTGAATCTCCGGCGGCCGCCCGGGCGATGTTTAAATGCAGTCGTGATATTTTTCCGTCTTCGGCTTGATTTATCTTGTCCCCCGTTTATGATCGCCTCTCTTGTGCGGCTTTTTCGCCAGGTCCTTGCCTTCGCGGTCGTTGAGATACGCGTTTTCTGTCCCAAATCCCTCATACTTTTAGGACGTTGGAGTGGAGGGGAGTCAAAAAATCCCGTTGGTTATGGTTGACAGGGAGACGGATTTTCTCGAGAGGTTCTCCATGAAGCATATAATTGGACAACATTTAGCAATGAGGGAATACTATTTCAGCCCCATCTTCAAAGGGGCGTATCTGCGTATAGAAACTTGTGGTGTACATGCTGTATCAAAAATTAGCAAAATTGTGCAGTTCTTAATTGCAATTTCCGGTCAGATTGAGAATTTAGCAATGAGGGGATATTATTTCAGCCTCAAAAGCATATATCTGCGTATACAGAAACTTGGGACAAAAAGTAGCAAAATAAGCAGTTCCTAATGGCAATTTGTGGTTAAATTGAGACTTTAGTGATAAGGGAACACTATTTCAGCCTCATCTTCAAAATCACGTATCTGCGTGTGAAAACTTATGGTGTACGCAGTTTCAAAAAGTAGCAAAATAAGCAGTTCCTAATTGCAATTTATGGTCAGATTGAGACTTATTAGCGATGAGAGAATACTATTTTAGCTTCATCTTCAAAATCACTTATCTGCGTATAGAAACTTATGGTGTACATGCTGTTTCAAAAATTGATGATTTTTCCCTGACATTTCCAGGGTTTCCCAGACGGTGGCAACCCTGTTCATTCCCCGATAAATCCCGGGTTTATCAGTCCTGAAGGCCATGAACTTAACAGCCCCTTCAGTTTTGAGTGTTTTCTCCAATTTTCCCGATCTCTCATATGAGCATGGCTCCCAGGATACACACAAGAGTGCACTTGAATGGCACTGTTCATTCCCCGATCAAATAAAGGCGACTTGAAGATTTTTCCCTGACATTTTCGTCATTCTCCCTGACTGTGACAACCCTGTTTATTCCCCGATAAATCCCGGGTTTATCAGTCCTGAGGGACATGAACTTGACAGCCCCTTCAGTTTTGAGTGTTATCTCCAATTTTCCCGATCCCCCACATGAGCATGACCCCCCTGGGATACACACAAGAGTGCACTTGAATGGCACTGATCCTTTTCCGATCAAATGAAAGTAACTTAAAGACTTTTCCCAGACATTTTCGTAATTTTCCCTGACATTTCCAGGTTTTCCGTGACTGTGGCAACCCTGTCTATTCCCCGAATAATTCCCAGTTTGTCAGTCCTGAAGGCCATGAAATTAACAGCCCCTTCAGTTTTGATTGTTTTCTCAAATTGTTCCGATCCCCCACATGAGCATGACCCCCAGGATACACACGAGAGTGGACTTGAATCTCACCGGCTGAATCGGAGGAATCGAGGGAACCGCGGACGGAGGAGACCATGGGTCTTTCCCTGACATTTCCTGATTTTTCCTGACTGTGGCAACCGGCACTGTTCATTCCCCGATCAAATAAATATGACTTAATGATTTTTCTCTGACATTTTCGTCATTTTCCCTTACATTTCCATGTTTGTTGTTCCATGGAGTCCATGTGGCAACCCTGTATTCCCCGATAAATCCCGCGTTCATCAGTCCTGGAGGCCATGGACTTAACAGCCCCCTTCAGTTTTGAGTGATCTCTTCAATTTTCCCGATCCCCCACATAGGCATGGCCCCCTTTACTCCAATTTTTCCGATCCTCCACGTGGGCATGGCCCCCAAGATACACGCAAGAGTGAACTTGAATCTCACCAGCTGAGTCCGAGGAGTCGAGGGATCCGCGGACGGAGGAGACCATGGGTCCGGGGGAGTCGTCGAGCTGGAGCTGGGCGCTCCGCTTGAAGACGCCGTAGACGTCGCTCTCGCACTGGACGCGGAGTCGCCCGAGCCGGAAGTTGGTGATGAGCGCCTCCAGATACGAGACCGTCGTCCACCGCTCGATCCCGTCTTCGCTCGGGGCCTCGTCCTTCTCCTGCAGCGACGTCACCTTGTCCGAGCTCGTCACCTGAAACAAGATCACGTCATCGTCAACATCGAGCTTGCCTTTCAATCCGACGAGATTGTGACATGCTATCGCGGAGTATACGTTACATGGTAGAATTTAGAAATTGAGTGTGTCCTCCCCTCCCGTACACGAGGAAAATTTTCATATATTTTATTGAGGATTTTGATTAAGTTAGTAATTAATAATTTAATATATTTCTTTTCTATGATTTTTAGGGAATTAAAACAATAAGGGACCATGAACGATACATCCTAAAAAGTAAGGGGTTCAGCTTGTGGTTTTTATCCTCGGGGCAAGCTAGGTACCTCTCTAGCAGCTTCGAGGACTTCCCCGAAATAAATGAATTCTTAACTGCGTACATAGTCACCGGGAAAGAGACGACCGCATACAAAGATGACGGTGGAAGAGAGAGGACAAACAAATTGGGAATGAGGAAAATGTATAGAAGCACGATTAAAGGCGAGAGGAGTATCACCGATTTATACGAAATAATCCCCAAAAATCCCCCAAGAATCCCACCCCTCACCGTTTGGATCTCCCCTCCGATTTCCTTTTGCAAGCAACATTGCAATTCGATCAATGGTTCTATATGGAAATCAGGTTGCGGTTCTTTCGCACCACCAAAGGGAGGAAGAGAAGAAGACTTCAGATGAACAGTTGTGATTGTTGCATCTATTCCTTACGTGCATCCCGTTCCCTTCCCTCACCTTCCCTCTTTTACTGTGTTCACAGTGTCTGAACAACAGAATGCAATAAAGAAACCACCGTTACGAACGATTCTTACGAAGATATTTGAAGAAAATAAATGCGACAACCTCGATCATCCACTGAGGCCACCATTTTTAAAATGTTCAAATGAACATTACATCTGCTGCTCGTGTCGCCAACGGCTGACACATGACCAATGCCCGTATTGCCGGGTGCCCTTAACGTCAGTAATCAAGGATCGTGTTTTGGATGAAATTTTTCACGCTGTCCATCCGACATTTTGTTCGGAAGACCCAGAGCCTCCGTTAGGCCGGGGGGCTAGGCGATCCTTGAATGTAACCGCTGCTGGGCCTTCAAGACTGCCGAGGGGCAGGGGGCATCTGCTCTCCCAGTTGGGAGTATTAGACTCTTCCCCACCTCCACCAGGACGGAGGACGCAATTCGCTGATGGACGAACGACAAACCAATCGGAAAGGCACGACGCGAATCTACAAAGAGCCATTGGGAGAAGCTTAATAGAGTCAGCGTTCGAAGAAACTCTTTGGAACACCTTAGATGTCTATGAATCAGGAAATATTTTTGCAAGATTCCCTGTGCGTAGGTGTTAGTGATGGTGCGGGACCCCTGCCTCCGGGGCTCGGGCTGTCTCAGCTGCGTCAGCAGGGCGGGCCATCCTACTCGTCTTGATCCCTTCGGGGTTCAAGGCCGGCCGGGATGTTCCCGCCACTAAGACTTATCAGCTGGAACGGTCTGGGTCACGGTGGAAGGGGTTACCATGGAAGTGTATGGTAGAAGATTTTTGTGATCGCATGGCAGAAAAAAGCTTGTTCGATCGGTTCTAATCCCTGTTTTTAACCCTTTTTTGTAAACCTTCTATTTTCCCGAGAAAGAAAAGAAACTTTATTCTTTCTACAAAGTGAGTTCCTTTTACTGGTATTCTTCAAACACCCTGATTTCAGAGGTTCACCCTAGAATGTGAGCTTTCTCATTAAGCTCAGAGCTCACAGGTCTATCAATTTTCCCAATAAGCAGCCCGCAAGAGAGATACAAGATAGAAAGTCCGAAGAAGAAATAGAGAAGAGAGAGATATAAAACAGAATAAAGAAAGAGAGAAATCACTAAAAAGAAATAGCACAACGACGAATCGAAGCCAGAAGAGAACGAGAGTGATTCTCCGAGCCAAAGCAACGCACACTGGTTCGAACCAATATGAGAACTAGGACAACACCTGGAAACTTTGAAAGCTAATATTTTCGAAAATATGAAACAAAGAAGTTTGATAGTGGTCCCAATGATTTTTTCATAAATTTCACTTTCAGAGACGCCTTTTGAAATTGAATTCGTGACGAAACAAACATCAAAATTTGAAATTATAGCCAAAAATTTCGTTTCCGACATCTTCTATCAGCTCGTTCCCGTGTGCGACGGGTGGAGAAAATGTATCAAGTCGCGGATTCGATTGGGGAAAGTTGAGATTGAAAGTTGATTTAGTGAAAAAACGGCTGCCAGCGGAAGGATAGGGGAGGGCGGGAAGGGAGGAAGGCCCTGGCCCGGGGTTTTGCTAAATGCTTTGTTTTATTTATGACTTTAATTGAACGTATTATAAAACGGGCGAGGTTATGAAACATTTATCAAATTCCTTCGCAAGTGTCGAGCGTTTGTCTTGCTCGCTCCGAGCCACCGCACAGCGGAGGGATTCTTCGAACGAGGTCGGATCAGACGTGAAAACTTGGAAAACTTGAAGCATTTGTTCCTAAAAAAGTAAACGGTTGCATCCTTAGTTTTCTTATAGGATTTTCTTCCAGAGGCACCCGTTAATATTTAGAATGTTCAGGAGGGAACATCGAAATTTCCAATTTTAGTCGAAATATTTCACGTCCGACCCGTGCCGTTTTCTCGTTCCACTGAGTGATGCTCCGAGCAGCTCCAGGCAGATTCCGAGAGCTGCGCTCGCATCGCGTTGCAACGTCGACGTGCTAAACCCATGTGAATGTTTCGGAAAAATATGTCATACAGGTGGATCCTCATTTTTCAGCGACTATCGTTTGAAATTTAATCCCTGTATTTTAAAAAGCATGATACCTTAACAAATTCAGAACATTTCCCTCGAAGTTCGAGTCGGGAACTGGAACTGATCGAATAATGGACCACTAGACAAGGTGCGAATTTAGGCATTCTGATACATGTTTCTTAACCAGAATTTCACGTAGAGCACGATTCGCGTAACGAAAACTAATGAAACCTACTCCTAACGAAGATATTAACGTTTTCATTTCACATTGGTTACGAGGAATTTCAACTGCCCGCTCACAAGAAACTCAAAGCTCTACGTGAATCAAATCGCGCACTACAATGGTTTCAGCAAGCTTCTCAATCGAGCAATGTTCATTTCCTACCATGTGTTTTTCAAACCATAAGTAATTTGCTATAGCTGAGCCAAAGCGTCAAGATTGAGGTTGCCAGATTTTTATATCGCAGAGACTATCATGACAACGTTTAGCGCACGATGTGAATCACGTAGAGCATTGAGTTTTCATGAGCGGGTGGTTTGAATTCACGCATCAAGAATCATTAAATATCTTCGTAAGGAGTTAATTGCGGTAATTTTTCTTGTGCGCATCGTGTTCTACGTGAAATTTTAGTTACGAAACATGTATCAGAATGCTGAAATTCGTACCTTGTCTAGTGGTCCATTAATGTTCTTCATGTCAGGATCGAGACAAGACTCTTGAGTTTTACCATCCCTCTTACTTTTCACTTGCTTCCTGTCCACAGGACTTCTCCGTTTATCCCGACATTCCTAACAGTATCTCCATGACATTTTGTTTGCTCGTGTGGACGTCAACGAGAGAACGAGTGACCGGTTTGTTCATCGATTCGGCACGATGTGTAGTTGCCTGAAAACTACCAAAGAACCCCAATGGTCATCCAAAAAAGACCACGTGAGATGCAAGTTGTGTCAGGTCGGGATCCACGTAGGAGGTGTCCTCTGTACTGGAAAAAACAAATTGGATCAAGAGTCCAGACTCTTAAAAACATCGACAAGAAAAAGTACTCTTGATTCAATCAGAATCTAGCTTCAATCAAGAAACAAGCCTCTTAAATTAGGCGTATTTCGTTTTGTTTCAAGCAAAAATCCGATTGAATCCAGAGTATTTTTTCTTGTCAATGTTTTCAAGAGTCTGGACTCTAGATCCGATGTCTTTTTTTTCCAGCGTGGGCAAGGTAATGTTGGCAAGGAGCATAATGTTTGAAGAATTAGAAGCGACTGTATTCGACGAAGTGCGACTGTTTATCTGGGGCCCCCACCTGGACCAACCCTAAACTTCACAGAAGTTCAGGGGAGGAGGGGAGTAATGTTGACAGTCTCTTTCCACAATTTCATGGGTGCAAAAAAATAATACAAATTATACTCCCAAACCTTCACCGCTTTAAATCTCCATATTATCGTTTCTTTTTTGTGCCTTTCTAAATCTAAAAAATTTCAAGTTTAAAAGGGTAAAAAACGTAATCCAAGTTTCCTTCTTTTATTCAAAAGTTCAAATTCAATAAAAATTTCATAGCTTGAGACTATTGTCTCGGAACACTTTATGGATTCCTCCTACACTGCCGAGAATAAACTGGATGAAAACTGGCAATTAGAATCGGCCTAGTGATCTGTTCAGAAATAAGACGTGAGACGCCAATGAGTATGAGTAACTTTGAGTATCACACAGGCTGATTACAGAAACCGATACACGAAGAGGCCAAAGAGAAAATGGATAGATACAACTGGTGAAAGCGAGTGGTTGCAACGGAAAAAGAACGTAGATAATAGACTAGCTGAAGGCAACAAAAGGAGAGCCTGATGGTTCGTTCATCACTTTCCCCATTTGTCTACGAAACCACCCGTTTCACCAAACGAACTGCTCTATTTTCCCTTCGTATTCATTGATTAACACCATGTCGATCGATTTTAATTATCAGCCCACTGATATAGTTGGGCTGCTTGTGGTTTGTTCCCCCACTGGGCAGAGTTAAGGATGGGTTTTATTTAAATCTGATTGAACTGACAACCTGCATCCAACCTCAGCAATCTCTACATCAGTCAATCTAATCATCACGCGAAATAAGCGGAGTAACTCAGTCATATTACAAAAATACTAGACTGGATATGATGATTACATACAATTGGAACACGGCACGAAATTTTAACGGGTCACAGAATAGTTAATCTGGTAATATACTATCTTTTCATACCTGCACGAAGTTGAATACAGCGCATATCGACTGAACTCATTCGTAAATGAAAC